AAAACATTTCAAGTCCATAAGGGTTGAGAGTCACCGATACTACTGATGACTGGATATTTACACATGTTTTTGTCCACCATTCTTATACTATTTGAAGCTCGGATCTCGGGTTTTAAGCGGATTTTACGCTAGGTTGTTCTTGTTCATGACATTTCAGGTCCTAATGAGTGTATGAAGGTTTGAGTACGAGTTCGGGGTCGATTGGGCGAAATTGGGACGAGCAAGGGAGAAGAGATGAGTTGCATGACCAGGACGGGGCGACGCATGGCCGTGCATGGTGGCCATGCAAGTTAAGATGCACGGCCAGGGTTTGCACGACCGTGCATGACGTAATTTCCAGTGTGATGAATTATGCGAGAAGTTGAACGGCCATGCTCTCGGATTGCACGGACCGTGCAACTGCCGTGCACTCCCCTCGCGGAATTAATTGGAACTCTGCGTTTTGGGTTGCACGGGCAGCGAAGGAGGTTGCACGGCCTAGCGGTCTGGCCGTGCAATCGAGGATACCTGCTTCTTAACCCAGTTTCGGGTTTTGGAGAAGGGATTCGACTTTTTGCGCAAAAATAGAGTTCTCGAGAGAGAAAGTGCGAAGAATAAACACTAGGAGCTATTTGGAGTGGATTTCTCACCATTGAAGCCCAGATCGCATCCCCATGAGTGAAGATTGACATCCCAGAGCATATTATTCTCATCTTTATGAGTATGACTACTTTTATTAATATTTCTCTCTCTCTCTCTCTCTCTATCACTCTCTTTATGGAGTAGACCCTTCTCTCACTTGGGTATGGAGAACCATAGTTCCATGTGTTAGGGATCTTGATTGTAATGACTTTTGGATTGATATACTATTTGATTATAATCAGTTGAAGTGTGTTTGTAGAGTCAATTGAATCCTGATCAACTTCTTTTGATTTCAGGTGCAACCTAAGATAGATAGAATCTGATTTGGTTGTTAGAGCTTCTTCATTTGATAGGAGTGGATTGATTATACAAGAATTAGTCAATTCATTGCTTTGTACTGTAATCCAATTCTAGTAGTGGAGTTCTATGTTAATTGTCTTAGCTTTCTATCCCGGTGAAGACTACTCGTCTGCCGGTTAGTCTGTTTAAGAGGTCTTGGTCAGCTTAAAAGATTCCAAGATACTATCAGATCTTCCGCAGTTTAATCAACAGTAAATCAACCCAAGTAAAACACAACTTGGACCTAACTAAGGAGCTAGAGGGACTCATTCCCGAGTGACTCTTCTCTTGCTTCAGGAAACCGGACAATTTACTGCTTTCTTTCTGTTTTACTTTACTCACCTACATTCACTTAGTCCCACTAGATAATAGATAATCACTGAGTAGGTAGTACATCTAGGCCCTGGGTTGATAAATTAAACTTACCACTATTATGCATTTCCGGAGTACGATTATACTTGGTCGCATTTTGGTGTTGTGTCATAGCGTGTCAAGTTTTTGTCGCCGTTGCCATGGACTTCTAGGTTATTGTAGAAACGAGAAAGTCTGTTACTTTAGCATTTTCTTTACTGCATTTTCTCTCTTCCACCAATGTGCCTTTACGGGTTGTGTTTGCCTTCTGTGTGCAGGTAGTGCATGACCCATAGCCAGTCGGGAGATCTATTGCCGTTAGACCAAGAGCTTGAACGGACTTGTAAGAACTTCAAGCGAGCTTTGAAGGCACGACTGGTTGCGGAGGAAACTTTGGAGAAACTGCACATCACTAAGGAAGAAGAAATGGGCGATCCGGTAAATGATAATGTGGTTGTCCCTGAGGAGCACACCATGGGATACTACTGGACTGCCAGAGCCGCAGACATGAGGTCTCCCATCCAACACCCTCAAGTTGCTGCCAACAACTTTGAGGTGAGTACCTCTGTCATCACCATGCTACGCGGCTCGGTGGTATTCCGTGGAAAGTGTCACATGTGGCAGATGACTTGGCGCCAACAAGGTGACAACATGGCGGCTGCACATGTGGCATGTATGGAAGACTAGTAGCATAGAGATGTTCTTAGGATTCTCCACCTAAATGAGAGCTTAATGGTGCACTTATGAGCCACATAATGGGTGACATTTGTAGAGTGCATAATGGGGGGACTTAATGGGGTATATTGATGTAGAGGGACATTATGAGGGGCATTGATGCCTTGTATGAGGAGAAGCCTATATAAGGAGCCATCTCCCTCACTTGTAACTCATTCCATAATTTTTTAGAGTAATACACACTAGAGAGTTCTCCCAATTCCTTTGTCTTTGTTCTTGTTTCCTTGCTTGCAAGTGAGTTGAGAGAGGCTGCGTAGCACTCTAACGGAATTGAGAGCTAGGGTCGCACGATCGAGAGTAAGGTCGTGACAAGTGGTATCAGAGCCCCGTTCGGCTTTGTGCTAGCAAAGTAGAAGCAATATCCAGACGAAAAGGAAGAGCCTCACCAAAAATGTCGGGATCAAAAGTCAATGACGACGTTGAGAAGCAACGTGGAAGAGAGCCCACCCTGGGCGCTAGAACAAAAGGCACGTCGAGCACTCGTGATCCTCTCAAATCTCTAGAGAGGCGAGTCTCGAGGATGGAGGTGAAGCTTTCCGAAGATATCTCTTCCATCGAGGATTTCTGAGCTAACTTCACCCAAGTCCAAAGTGATGTTCAAGGAATGGCTGGTCGGTTGACAAGCTTGGAGATCAACCATGATGGGATGCGAGAAGAGCTCGTGGCTCTCATCACCAACACCATCTCCGAATCCGTGAACAACGCCATTGAAGTTGTAAAATAGCATGTCCAGGCTGAGCTGGTCGGCGTGAAGGAGGAGATTTCAGACCTCAAGAGTGAGGTTACTCTCGTGAAGAGAGCTATGGATAGCGGACCAGCCCAGTGCAATCCGTCCCACATGCTGATGTTCCAAGACCGAAGATTTTCGGAGAACGTGCAATTTGAAGCCCGTTCGAAGTTGAGAAGACTCACCCAGAGGGGTGGAGTTCGAGAATATGTGAAAGAATTCTCGGAGCTGCTTCTAGAGATCCCGGACATCACGGACAAGGAAGCCATGCACGACTTTCTTGATGGGCTGCAACCATGGGCCAAGATGGAGATGCAACGTCGACGAGTGCAAGACCTTGCAACTGCCATGGCCACGGTGGAGTCTTTTGTTGAGTACAAAAGGCAAGAGAGCAGCGGCAAAGAGAAGAGTTCAAAACCCAACAAGGGTGGAGAACAGCAGAAGCCTTTCAAGGAGGGTTCTCGCACTCAACAACACCAAGGTGGTTCAAGCAAAGGGGGAAAGTACGAACCAAAGCCCGTATCTTGTTTCCTTTGGGACGGACCATCGAGTGCGGGATTGCCCAAGGAGGGCGATATTGGCGGCCATGGAAGCTCAAGATGAGGAACCCGAGGCGGCGGAGGCCAAGATTGGCTCAATCCGCAAGCTTGGCGCGGTGAAGACCGACGTCAAGGAGAGTAATTGTGGGAGGTGCTATGTTTCTGACGCAATTCATGCAAGGGGAGTCAAAAGCCTTGGTGGATACCGGAGCCACGGACAATTTCGTTCGCAACGAGGAGGCAAACCGCCTGGGTATTGCCTATGAGAAGGGTCAAGGAAGGCTCAACACGATCAACTCGGAGTCCATCCCGATCCATGGAGTTGCTCACAACGTGCCAGTGAAGCTCAGCGAGTGGGAGGCCTCATCGACTTTACCGTCGTCACCATGGAAGATCACCCAGTCATCCTCGGCATCAACTTCCTCGACAAGGAGGGAGTGCTTTTGAAGCATAACGCCAACACGATGTGCTTGGAGAAGGAAGGAGAATTCCATGCGGTCCATCTCTTGAGAGAAGATGGCCCCCATAGTGCTCTATCCGCTATGCAGGTATTGAAGGGGTTCAAGAAGAATGAACCGACCTTTCTTGTGTCCTTGAAAATGGAGGAAGAAGGAGGCTCAATGGGAATCACAACTCCCATCATCGAAGGCATCCTCGAAGAGTTCGATGACGTGATGCCATCGGAGTTGCCCAAGAAGCTGCCACCAAGAAGAGAGGCGGACCACAAAATCGAGTTGGATCCAGGAGCGAAGCCCCCTTCGCGAGCACCATACCGCATGTCGCCACCGGAGTTAGAAGAATTGTGGAGGCAACTCAAGGACTTGGTGGACGAAGGCTTTATGCGGCCATCGAAGTAACCTTTTGGAGCACCGGTGCTGTTCCAAAAGAATAAGGAAGGGCCATTGCGCATGTGCATCGACTATAGAGCTATCAACAAGTTGACGGTGAAGAACAAGTGGCTGATTCCCAACATTGCCGACTTGTTAGACCAGCTTTGAGATGCGATGTGGTTCACCAAGCTAGATCTTTGCTTGGGCTACTATCAAGTGCGGATAGCAGAGGGGGACGAGCCAAAGACAGCTTGTGTGACGAGGTATGGCTCTTATGAGTTTCTTGTGATGCCATTCGGTCTCACCAACGCACCAGCCACGTTTTTCACTTTGATGAATCAAGTGTTCGAGCCATTCTTGGACCGGTTTGTCGTGGTCTACTTGGATGACATCGTCGTGCATAGCAAAACACTTGATGAACATACCGAGCATCTACGCCAAGTCTTCCAAGTCCTTCGCGACAACGAGTTGTATGTCAAGAGGAAGAAGTGCACATTTGCCGCCACGGAGGTTCCATTATTGGGGCACATCATTGGTGGAGGCAAGTTGAAGATGGATGGGGCGAAGGTGCAGGCAATCCAAGAATGGGAGCCGCCGACGAAGGTGCCAGAGTTGTGATTATTGCTCGGCCTTGCCAACTACTATTGGAGGTTTATCAAGGGCTACTCCAACATTGCAGCACCCTTGACGGATCTCTTGAAGAAGAACAAGGCGTGGGATTGGTCGGAAAGGTGCCAAGAAGCATTCGAGGCCTTGAAGGCAGCGGTGATGAAGGAGCCCGTGCTCGTGCTTCCCAACCCAACGTTGGCCTACGAAGTGTAGACCGATGCATCTGACTTCGCAATTGGAGGTGTGTTGATGCAAGATGGGCATCCCATTGCCTTTGAGAGTCGGAAGCTCAGTGAAACAGAGAGGAGATACACCATTCAAGAGAAGGAGATGACGGTCGTGGTGCATTGCTTGCGCACATGGAGGCACTACTTGTTGGGGTCAAAGTTCGTAGTGAAGACGGACAACGTGGCAACGAGCTACTTCCTCACGCAGAAGAAGCTCACCCTTAAGCAAGCGAGGTGGCAAGATTTTCTGGCCGAGTTCGATTTCGTCATGGAGTACAATCCAGGCAAGGCGAACTCCGTTGCAGATGCTCTTAGCCGCAAGAGTGCAGCCGCAAGCATCAGCCCGCCAATGTTTCCTTTCAAAGAGCGGATCGTTGAAGGCCTTGGCCATGACCCCTTCGCCAAAACCATAGCAGATTACATCGAGCAAGGTAAGACTCGACGGTTTTGGATGAAGGATGGGCTCATCATGACCAAGGTAGAGCGGGTGTTCATGCCAAGATGTGCCAACTTGATGAAGGAGATCATGAAGGAGTGTTGATAAACCGTTAATTGCACATGTTTTTGCCCCTATTCTTGAGCCGTTTGAGATGTTGATTCTCGTGTTTTAGGCCGATTTTACGCTAGGTTGTGCTTGTTTGTGATATTTCAGGTCCTAGTATGTGAATGAAGGTTTGGGAGCGAGTTCGGGGTCGATTGGACGAAGATCGGACGTGGGGCGAGTCGCTGAGGAAACCACACGGGCACTCATAAAACCGACACGGCCGTGTAAGGAACCAATGTGGCCGTGTGGGATTGTGTGAGGATTCACACGGGCAGACTAGAGATCCTACACGGCCGTGTGTCCCTGGCCGTGTAGGTAGCCTGAAGTCCAATTAATCAAAATTCGGCTTTTTGACTCTCACACGGGCATCTGGGTAAGCCACACGGCCGTGTGGCCTGCCCGTGTGAGTCGGGAATTCTGGTTTTAACCCAATTTTGAGACCGTGATGTGTTCCTTCCCGAGGAGCAGACCATGGGATACTACTGGACCGCCAGGGCCGCGGACATGAGGTCGTCCATTCAACACCCTCATGTGCTAGCAAATAACTTTGAGGTGAGCACCTCTGTCATCATAATGCTGCGCGGTTCGGTGGTGTTCCGTGGCAAAGAGGGGGAGTACCCCCGATCACATCTCAAACGATTCCATGAACTCATTGATGGAATCAAGATAAATGGGGTCCCAGCAGATGCCATCTAGCTGAGGTACTTCCCGTTTACTCTGGAGGGGCAGGCCAAGGAGTGGCTGGACACTCAACCTCCAGGCTCTATCACCACGTTCGCCAACCTGGCAGACAAGTTCCTCACTCGCTACCATCCTCCGTCCAAGACGACGGACCTGCAGAAGCAAATTACCCATTTTGCTCAGGATGAGGATGAGACCATCAGGGATGTTTGGGAGAGATATACCAGTCTCTTCCTTAAGTGTCCTAACCATGGGTTTACTGATGCCTTCATGGTGGGCACCTTCTACCATGCCCTCTTCCCAGAAGACAAGCAGCTGATTGACTCAGTCTGTGGCGGGAATATGCTCACCAAAACACCGCCCCAGCTGAATCAACTTTTTGAGGAGATGGCAGAGCAGGGCTATGACTGGGGAACTGCGAGGAGATCGAGACGAGCACTAGGACGGGGTGTGCATGCTGTATCCACCTAGTCATCTGATCTGGTGCAGGTGGTATCGAAGCTGGTTTCAGCTATCGATCGTTTCGGGATGATTGCAGGTACCGGACAGCAGCAGGCGATGCTCTGCCAGTGGTGTGAGAGTTCTCATCACACTGTTGAGTATTTCCAGGCGATGAGGGAGTCTACTACTCCCCAGGAGCAGCTGGACTTCATCGCCAATGCTAGGCGCTTCGACCCCTACAGCAACACTTACAACGAGGGGTGGCGCCAGCATCCCAACTTCTCTTGGGGTGGGGCAAATTCTAGACCACCAGTCCCCAGGGACCACCTGGTTTCCAGAGGCCTCCTTACCAGCCCAGACAAGGGAAATTTCAGCAGCTGCAGCAGCCTCTCTACCCACCCAGAGAGGGGCCAGTTCCACCTCAGTCACAGGTGCGGCCATTTCATCAGATAGGGGCATCATCTGCAGCCCCAGCACAGAGTGACCCGATGGCGGAACTGCGAGATATGGTGGGTTCTCTGACCACCTCCAGTGCAAACAAGTTCAATAACATCGAGCAGTTCATGGAGAAAGCTTCAGGCAAATTCATGGAGCTAGAAGCTGGTCAGAGAAACACGCAGGGTGTGCTTCGGGATATCCAGACCCAGCTTGGGAGTGTTGCCCAGGCTGTAGCTCAGAGGCCTCCTGGTACTCTACCCGGTCAGACCATCCCTCATCCGCAGAACCCGAATGAGCACTGCAAGGCCATTACCACTAGGAGTGGCAAGGTGACTGCCGATCCACCTGTTCGGGCAGAAGAGAGAGAGAGAGACCCCTGCTTCAGCACTTCCAGCTAATGAAGAGGAAATTGAGAAGGAGATTGAGGTGCCTGCTCCTAAACCGCAACCAGTGGTGAAGGAGTATGTACCCTAGCTTCCCTTTCCTACTCGGTTGCACAAGGACCGACTAGAGACTGAGTTTGTCAAGTTCATGGCAATGCTGAAGCAGGTGAATATAAGCATGCCCTTCGTGGAGGCACTATCGAAGATGCCCAAGTATGCCATCCTACAGAACAAACTACCAGAGAAGCGAAAAGACCTAGGGAGTTTCACTATCCCTTGCATGATTGGTAGTTTGCATATAGGGAAGTCCTTGGCGGATTTAGGCGCTAGAATAAACGTCAAGCCATATAAACTGTTTAAAAAGCTAGGCCTAGGTGAACTCAGTGATACTAGGATGAGCATTCAACTTGCTGATAGATCCATTGTGCATCCTAAGGGCATTGGAGAGGACTTGATAGTCGCAGTAGGGCCATTCTCTTATCCTATTGATTTTGTGATTTTGAACATAAATGAGGATGTGGATGTGCCATTGACATTGGGTAGACCTTTTCTCGCCACCGCCAAGGCGCTCATTGATGTGAATGATGGAAAACTGATTTTGCGAGCTGGGGGTGAACAAATCACCTTCTCTGTTTCTGATAATATGAAACACCCCCAGCTCCATGATGATCTAGATTACTGTGATGTTGTTGATGATTTTGAGACCGCACTCGCCATCACGAGTGCGAGTGCCGATTTTCTTGAGCGTTGTCTTTTGCTAGGGGAACAGTCATCATAGGACGTGCAGCTAGAGGAGCAGCTCGCGGAGCTAGACGAGGCCGCGATCGAGGGGCGAGAGATACCATTCAAGCCGATCCCTATCTTGCCCCGGATCGCTACATCATTGGAGGAGCCGCCAGAGCTGGAGCTTAAGCCCCACCCCTTTCACCTGGACTATGCATTTCTCCGGGAGGGGAATAAGCTCCCAATCATTATTAGCTCGGATCTGACACCCGAGCAAAAGAGCAGGCTGGTGGCTCTGCTGCAGAAGTATGCCCGGGCCATGGCATGGAAGATCACAGACATTAGAGGCATTAGCCCATCCTTCTGCTCCCACAGAATTCTGATGGAGGATGAGGTTAAGCCAGTCAGGAAGCCACAACGGAGATTGTCTCCTAACTTGGAGGTAGTGGTCCGGGCAGAGATTGTGAAGCGCATGGATGCAGGGATCATCTTTGCTATATCTGATAGCAAGTGGGTCAGCCCCACTCAAGTGGTCCCGAAGAAAGGCGGGATGACTGTGGTCCGGAATGAGAAGAAAGAGTTGATCCCAATGTGGACCGTGACCGGTTGGAGAGTCTGCATCGATTACCGGCACCTGAACGACGCCACCAGGAAAGATCATTTTCCCCTACCTTTCATTGATCAAATGCTGGAAAGGTTGGCTGGTCATGAGTTTTATTGCTTCTTGAATGGCATGTCTGGTTATTTCCATATTCCTATTGCACCAGAGGATCAGGCGAAGACCACATTCACTTTCCCCTTTGGCACTTTTGCTTGCCAGAGGGTTCCATTCGGGCTGTGTAATGCACCGGCGACCTTCCAGAGATGCATGATGGCAATCTTCGACCGACTGGTCTGGCACTCAGCTGGGAGAAGTGCCATTTTATGGTCCGTGAGGGGATTGTGCTCGGGCAAAAGATCTCCAAGCAGGGGATTGAGGTGGATCGCGTGAAGATTGAGACGATCAGTAAGCTACCTCCTCCCATTTATGTGAAGGGGATTAGCAGCTTTCTAGGTCATGCAGGCTTCTACCGGCGCTTCATTAAAGATTTCTTGAAGATTGCCCTGCCTCTGACCAAGCTGCTGGAGAAGGATGCACCATTCCAGTTCACTCCTGAGTGCACAACTGCATTCGAGACTTTGAAGGAGAAGCTTACCCATGCACCTATCATGGTGACTCTTGACTGGTATCTTCCTTTTGAGCTGATGTGCGATGCGAGTGATTATGCAGTCGGAGCAGTTCTGGTCAGAGACGCGAGAAGCACTTCCAGCCCATCTACTACGCGTCCAAGACCTTGAACGATGCACAGGAGAACTACACCACCACTGAGAAGGAGCTCCTCGCTGTGGTGTATGCGTTTGATAAATTCCAACCCTATCTGGTGCACTCCAATGTGGTGGTCTACACTGACCACTCGGCGAATCGCTGCCTGATGAGCAAGGCTGATGCGAAGCCTAGGCTCATCCGCTGGATCCTGCTTCTGCAGGAATTCGATATAGAAATCCGGGACAAGAAGGGAGCTGAGAATGTTGCTGCAGATCATCTTTCACGGTTGGAAGCCCCTCCGGTGGACAACTTCGTGGAAGAGATCAATGACTCCTTCCCGGGTGAGAGATTGCTGGCGATGACACTAGTGGACAGCGTGGTCCCTTGGTATTCTGACTTTGCCAAATTATCTGGTGGGCAAGCAGCTACCTAAGGGGATGGCCACTCATACAAAGCGCAAGTTCTTCTCCGACCTGAAGCATTACTTCTGGGAGGATCCTTACCTCTTCAGGGTCAGAGCAGATGGCGTGATCCGGCGCTGTGTCATGGAGCACGAGATGGGAGACATCCTATCTCAATGCCGCGAGGGACCTACTGGAGGTCACCATGGAGGAAACCGCACGGCACGGAAGGTACTACAGTTGGGGTTCTATTGGCCCTCACTCTTCAAGGATGCAAACACCTTCGCACGACAGTGCGACCGCTGCCAAAGGTCAGGTAACATTTCTGCCCGGGATGAGATGCCCCAACATATTTTTGTCATTTGTGAAATTTTTGATGTTTGGGGTATCGATTTCATGGGCCCATTCCCTCCATCTTTTGGTAATCTGTACATATTGGTTGCAGTGGACAACGTCTCGAGGTGGGCAGAAGCTCAAGCCATGCCCACCAATGATGCAAGACGGGTCTGCTCATTTCTGAATCAGCTATTCTCCCGGTTCGGGACACCCCACGCCATCATTAGTGATAGAGGAACCCATTTTCAAGGGCAATTCACGAAACTCCTCTCTCCCTATGGTGTTAAG